GGAAGAGATCTTAAGAGACCTCAATGATGCAACGAGAGCATACCTGAGCTGCTCAGACCCAACAGAAGCCGCGGCAAGAAGACAGAGAGTCAGGGCCGGAGATGCAATAGGAGAGACAGAAGAGACCGCAGCTGCTTTATTCAAAGCGCAAACCAGCCTATCAAACAACCTACCTCCGAATCAACCCTCTCAGAACCCTGTCAGATACCTTTCAAAAGAGCAGGTTCTGAAAGACCTCGAAGCAGTGACTATGCAGTACCTTAGCTGTCCTAACCCCACTGAGGCTGCGGCTAGAATGCAACGTGTCCTGTCAAGTGAGGCTTCAGGCCTAGTGGATGCAACAGCAGATTCCATCCTAGCTGCAGAGTTAACCCCGAGAAAATCACTCTCACCGTGGGAGAGAGGTATAAAATCAGTAAGTCCAGTTGCAAACAACTCCCTCTTTGGATTAAGACCGGACCAAATCTTCAGCCCTATACCTCAACCTCCGACAGATCTGGGACTTGATCCATACTACAGTGATGCTCCTGCTCAAGTTAACTTCCTGTCCCCCAGAGAAAATAGTGAAACACCTGCTCGGCTCAGGTCACTAATCATTTCCCCTCATATGACAGCTGACGATGCCCCTCCATTGAACCCTCGAAGGCCTGTTTCACGGGAGGAAACTCCTATCAATGAAAGACAGACAAAAAGGCAAAGGAGGATATCGACTAGACAATCAAGAAAGAGGTCACCTGGAGGAGGACCTAATATCCTCCTTGGCACTAGTTCAAAGAAGAGAAATCTCTCTCAAATCCAGTACTCACCAGGAAACAGTAAGAGAGCGAGGACTGCGGGGCCCGATAGAGCACTGGCTCTGGGAAATACCTCAATTGTGGCTACTGAGGCTTCCAACGCTATTAGAAACCCTCCTATCCAGCTGACACCGGCAATGACAAAGAAGAAGGCGGATTTTCGGCTTCCCCAGCTCCCGGGTCCTTACTCGTCCTGAGCTGGAATTGTTGTGGACTTGGGAACCCCATAACAATCCAGCGTTTAAAAGAGCTCCGTAGAAAGAAGGACCCCAACATTCTTTTCCTGATGGAAACAAAGAATTCAGAAGAATTGATTATTAAAGAACTCCCGTGGCTAAAAGAAGATAACACTTGCTTTCTCCCCCCCCCCCACACTCCAGGAGGTGGTGGTCTCATGCTCAGTTGGAAAAAGACATCGTGCTTATAGTCCTATCTACCTCCAACAATTTCATTGATACGGAAATCGTCTCCAAAGGGAAACCTTTCTTTGCTACGTTCCTATATGGGGAACCGGATCATACAAAAAGATTGGCCGTTTGGAACTCACTTTCTAATCTACATGCCAACCCCAAAGGACCGTGGTTCTTAACAGGAGATTTCAATGAAGTACAGGATAACAGTGAGAAAAAAGGAGGGCCAGAGAGTGTAACACCCCCGAACCGTCCTAGGCCGGACTAACCCGGGACGACCCGGAAGCGTTACAATTAGACGAGCATCGCAGTCGGTCCAATCAAAACTTTAAACAAATCAAAGTCTCGACCAGCCCAACCACTATACCGTCCCTCTCAACCTCAGCCTAAGGCCAGCGCTGACCCGTACTTTGGTTAAGAGTTGTGTTAAGTTCGGACTAAACTCTATATCAGCGTTCCACGGGGATTTTAATAAAACATCTTTTTATAAATAATCAGAGTCGGAACTCGACTTAAGTTTATAAATACAACCACGTACATAAACACGAGAAAAAGGGGTACCCATAAAAACAAATCAAGAGAAAACAAGATCTTCGTCCTTTGCAAAACAACACCGGAAGTCTACGCCTGGCCTCGTCCTCCACACCCCGCAAAACGCCCCTTCCCTTCTAAGGTTACCTGCATAGTAAAGGGGGAATGAGTAATCATAGATTACTCAGCGAGTTCCCAAAAACAACAACAACAACCGCCCCCTTAGCCCATGCTCAAACACAA